AATAAGAAATCACCTGTACTTAGTTGAGAATTTTATTTTCCCTTTTCTTTCTTTTGGTCTTTTTGAGACAGGGTCTCCCTGTAGCCCCAGCTGTCCTGGAACTCACTATGTAGATCAGGCTGGCCTTGAACTCACAGAGCTCCACCTGCCTCTGCCTCCCCAGTACTGGGATTAAAGACATGCTCCACCATGCCCAAATCTTTTCCTTTTTCAGTAGTGCATCCAGGCTACTTCCTGTGATGAGCATTTTTTTTTTTTTTGAGACAAGATTTTATGTATCCCAGGTCAGCCTCAAACTTGAAATGTACCTGAAAATGACCTGGAACTTCTGATGGTCCTGCCTCTGCCACCTGAGTGCTGGGATCACAGGGATGTATATCGAGTTTATGTGGTGCTAAGGATTGAATTTAGGACCCTGTACATGCTAGATAAGCACTCTACCAATTGAGCTACATCTCCAACCATGTGTTTCTTTCCTTATGATAATATGGTCAGTTAAATTTTACTCACATGTTCAATCAACATTTATTGATCACCTATTATGTGCCAGGCACTGGGATAAAGAGTTCAAGTCACTGAGCAGGTATGGCAGCACGCACCTAAAATTTCAGCTCTTGGAAGGCAGAGGCAGGAGGACCAGGTGTTGAAGGTCATCCTTGATAGATAGGAAATTTGAGGTCAGCCTGGGATATGTGAGATCCAGTCTCAACAAATAAACAAAACAATCAGCCAGGAAGCAGAATAGAAAGACAATTATAATATGGGGTAGAAAGCACTGAACCAGAGACACACAGGGGGGAGTTCTTCTTCCCTGTCTTTCCCCTTCCTTCCCAGGCCTCTAGCTTCCTGTCCTCACCCATTGCAGATATTGTGAGCGTCACTTGGAGCAAAATGTGAAATGTTAAATGGCTCCTCCAACCCTGACATGCCATAAATGTAGCCCCAAACCAAGAAGGAACCACAGCAAGAGGATCCACAGTAAGTGGATCACTCCAGTAAGATAATACACAAAAGGCCATGATGCACCTAGTGCTAACGTTAAAAAACGGTTTATAGAATAAATGAAGGGTAGCTGAATAATTGAATGATGATATGGTGAGTGATTTAATGAATGACCAGAGTAAACTCACAACCTTGAAGCAAACTGAGTTGTAGAGGTTCTTATTGTTTTGGTATGGTTTTGGTCTTGGTCTTTTGAGACATGGCCTCACACTATAGCCCAGGTTGGACTGAAACTTACTGTGTAGCCAGAGTGACCTTGAATTCTGGGTAATCCACCTACTTCAGCCTCTGAGTGCTGGGATTACAGTTGTCTGTTCCCACACCTGGCTGAATTTCAAGACTAATGTTTATGCTTGTCCACTAAATACTATGTTGTCCAGAAAGTTCTGTATAAAGATTTGGGGTTTAATTATTTTTCTACTTCACAAAAAATGAGTTTTGAAAGCCCAAACAGAAGTTGGGCATGGCGGTGCATGCCTTTAATTCCAGCACTTGGGAGACAAAAGCAGGCAGATCTCTGTAGGATAGAGGCCAGCCTGGCCTTTATAGCATATTCTGGGCCAGCTGAGGCTACAGGGAGATCCTGTCTCAAAAAAGAAAAGAAAGAAAGAAAGAAACCCAAACAGCATGGCTATATAATTAGCGTAGACCTTTTGAAGGGTCAAACTGTGTATGGGCATGTGTATCCATAAGTTGTTATAAAAGGTCCTGCTTTTTAGCACCTATTCCTATTTTA